AATGTGCGCAGATGTCATGGGGATTTCCGGTGGTGATGTGCCTATACATACCCACAGAGACATCCTCTCCAACCTCACACCTTCACATTTCTTCTCTCTTGAGCGTTCGATCAATGGCTGCAGCTGGTAGCGGCAGTTTCCAGGACGGACGTATTGCCTCGAAGCGTCTCATGATGCTCGTGGCCCTACTTCTCGTCTCCTGCTGTCTCGGCCATGGCTTTGGCGATGAGGATCATGTCGAGGTGGAGGAAGTCGGCAGCAGTTGCATGGAAAGCGAGAGGAGAGCTCTCCTCGCCATCAAATCTGATATGTACGACCCCGACAACTGGTTTTCTTCTTGGACCGGCAAAGACTGCTGTGGGTGGAGAGGTGTGGCGTGCGACCACACCACCGGCCATGTCACCAAGCTCGACCTCCGCTACCCCTACACATACACATACACATACACATACGATATGTGGGATGTGTTTTACGATGCGGAAACAATAGGCGCCAGCAAGGTAAATCCATCTTTGCAAGAACTGAAGTACTTGAAGTATTTGGATTTGAGCATGAATAACTTCTCCCACGCCCCTGTGCCTTCTGTGATTTCTTCACTAGTCCACTTGGAGTATCTCAATCTATCTTATGCCATGTTCTATGGACTAGTTCCTCCTCAGCTGGGGAACCTCTCCAACCTATACCATCTCGATCTTGGGGGATGGTTTCTACATGTTGATGATCTCGATTGGCTCTCCCGTATTCCTTCTCTAAAATATCTTGACATGAGTTATGTCAACCTCTCCAAAGCAACCAATTGGTTCTACGTAATTAATTCTATTCCCACACTCGAAGTGTTGCGTTTGAGGTATGCAGACCTGCCATATGTTCCATCTCCTTTGCCCCCTTTTAATCTGACAGCCATCGCCACGTTGGATCTGTCTTGGAATTCCAACATCTCGTCTGCCATGCTAAGATGGCTTTCTAACGCCACCAGCCTCGAGTACCTCCTTCTTTTTCGCTGTGGGAGTCTCACTATCGAACCGCTACAAGTTGCTCTAGCATCTCTTATCAATCTGAAGGAGTTGGATTTGTCATTCAACTCCCTTGAAGGAGAAATTCGTGAAACTCTGAACAATGTCAGTAGCAGGGGCCTGAAGCACTTGGATTTGAGCTGGAATCAATTATCTGGAGATATTCCTCCAGGGAGCCTTAGAGACCTGGAGTACCTGGACTTATCAGGGAATTTTAATGTCATCGTACATATATTTGCTTCTCTGGGGAATCTCACAAACTTGCGACATTTAGGGTTGTCGGGCAATTCAATCAGCGGAGAAATTCCACAAACCGTAGGAAATTTTGTCCGATTGGAGTACCTAGATTTGTCCTCTAATGGCATCATTGGAAAAATACCAGAGAGCATCGGCAACCTCAGTAACCTAGTGGAATTATATTTATCAAGGAACAATATTGCCGGAAGCATTCCAAGGACTATGAGTACTCTCATCCATATGAAGATATTATGTTTGTTTGACAATCGTATTTATGGAGAAATACCAGAAACCATTGGGGGTCTTCAAAATTTGCTAGTATTATCTTTAGACAATAACTTTATTACTGGAGAAATACCAGCAACCATTGGGGGTCTTCAAAATTTGCAGTTATTATCTTTAGATAATAACTTTATTACTGGAGAAATACCAGAAACCATTGGGGGTCTTCAAAATTTGCAGATGTTATATTTAGACAATAACTTTATTACTGGAGAAATACCAGCAACCATTGGGGGTCTCCAAAACCTGCAGACGTTGATTTTAAAAGATAACTCATTTACTGGACAAATACCTAATACGATTGGTAGACTCCGTAACTTGTTGTATTTGGACATATCAAATAATAATTTATCAGGTCCACTGCCAAAAACAATGGGTGATCTGTGCAACTTGACCATACTGGATTTGTCTCAGAACCACATTGGTGGAGAACTAACCAATCTATTTGATGGTTTATCTGCCTGCACACAATGGACATCTTTACCATCCTTATATATGCAGCACAATCATTTAAGCGGTACTATTCCTTCAAGTATGGGTCGAGTATCTCAATTACTAAATCTATACCTCTCCTCAAATTCTTTAGTAGGTAACATCACTGAAGTACACTTTTCTAATCTCACAAACTTAATAGGATTTACCATATCTTCCAACTCCTTGAACGTGATCCTACCGAATGATTGGCATCCCCCTTTTAATGTCGAATTTATTGGCATGAGCTTTTGTCATTTAGGAGCTGAATTGCCTGCTTGGCTTCAAACTCAGACGCAATTGACAACTCTATATCTATGTGGAGTAGGACTCTCGGGCAACCTCCCAATTTGGTTTTCAAATTTCTCAAGAGGGTTGCGGAGTCTTAACATGAGCTCTAACAATTTACGAGGTCCACTACCTTTTGCTCCTAAATCGATGTTAGACCTCTCCAATAACTCATTTGTGGGACCTATTCCCCCAAGCTTCGCAAAAGCTACAACCCTCTCTCTATTGTCTTTATCTCATAACCATATCAATGATCGTCTGCCTCCCTTTTTTTGCAATATGCAATCACTTCAGGTGCTTGATCTATCTAACAGTCACTTAATTGGAGAAGTGCCAGATTGTCAGAACTCATTCCCCATCTCTCTACAGTCATTACATTTGAATAATAACAATATGTCTGGAACAATTCCTTTGTTTTTGAAACATTGTCACAAATTAGTTACCCTTGATCTTGGTGAAAATAAATTGCATGGCAGAATTCCAACATGGATAGGAAGAAACCTCTGGTCCTTGAGAGTTCTTCGTCTGAGGTCAAACGTTCTATATGGTACCATCCCAATGAATATAGTGAATCTCACTTCTCTCCAGCTATTGGATCTTTCTTCCAACAATCTAACTGGCAGTCTACCATCATCTCTTGGAAATTTCAGCGCCATGGTTGAGATACAAAATAATATCACGTCAGTGCTTCATATCGAAACATATTATTATGAAGAGAGCATCTTGATGACCACAAAAGGATCAACGATTGATTACACAACCATTCTCTCGCTGGTGACATG